CATGATATCGCACCGACATAAGACCGCATGACAGACATAGGAAAGTCACCGCCGCGGCAGCGCGCCACCGTCCATGCAATATTGACCTGTACGTGAATCCGTGCACCGGTTATTTGCATCAATGATCCGGCAGATCCTTGAATCATGCATCTGCATGAGTGTGAAAAAGATTTGCGTGCTCAACAAACCGTGCTTGCATCTTCGAACCCAAAACTTCAGATCCACTCATGAGACGGTCCTGATTCGATCTGCATACGATCATTTGGTATCATTATGGCCGCAGTTCGGTTCAGAAGAAGGCTCACCGCAAAATGGATTCACTGAGTACATCACGCATGCATCCAATCATGAAATCGGACTGCGCGCCTCGAGTGACCTGCCATGGCCAAATCGCTTCACGGCTAACGTTTGTTCAGAGGGCGCCAATTGAAGGGCCGCCACCAATGCCAGCTGGTCGACTCGGAATCTAGCCTAATATAGAGACAGTATTAGAAGCTGATTATATTAGGTTGAGTGCATGTCCCCCACTGTGCTGTGTGCACAAACCGTACTCGCAGTCAAGCCTGAGGCCCAGGTGCATTACCGTTGAATGCTTTTGTACACTGTAACCATTATCCTTAGTAGTGCTTGGAGATTGATCCGCGAACACACTTCTGAGAAACAGCTACCTTACGAGAATCAAGCATTTTGAGGACCTACGAACTACTAATTATACAGTGCTACATCGGGGCTCTTCACCTGCTATCGGGCATCCGACCTCATCGTCTACCGGTGTGTCAAAATTCTGCATTCCTTGATTTCTTCCAGATTGTATCGATCAGCCCAAGCTCATTTTCCAGGGAGGTGGCATCCAAGGCTCGGTCATATCAATGACAATGTCACTGTCCCAGTCTGAATCAGAGTCACTTAATTCCTCCTCCCGAACGACGCGCTCAGTCAAACCCACAAGATGTCCCGCACCGCAGATTCTGAAGTCAGCTGGGGTGCCCTTTGGCAGACTGAGACCCCCCCGAGGAAACTGCTGCAGAGGTGAGGTGCAAAACGAGCAGAAACCACGCTCGTCACCAGAATTGCTGCCACCGTTGATGCAAGATATTGAAGCTACATCATCAACAGAGCAATGGAACCCTCGGTACACTTTCCTTTCGATCCTCTCCTGCATCACGCTTGGATACCACATCCTCCTGTGAACAAAGGAATGCGTGCAGCAGAAGAGCGCAACGCAGATGGACGCATCAGCGAGGACCTCTCCACCTGGAACAATCTCGAGATCCGCCGGGTCTTTGCAGAGATGCGGAGCGACGTTCCAGTCAGGCTCACACACATGTATCCCCCTCCCGTCCCTCCCTATGCCCCTGCACAGAGCCCCGCGTCCATCTTCATCCAGGCTTGCATACTTGGGGTCTATCGAAAGCTGTGTAGGGCACCAGGTCAAGAGCTTGGCAAAGCTCAGCCAGCTAGCACCCCCGGGCCCGATGCTGCTCTCTCCTGCTAGTGCGATTCCTGAGCGCTCTGCAATTTGCGCGCAGACTTCTAGAGTGATTCTCCTGCACGCTGCCCCCCACACGCGCTGTCGCACGAGACGCGCGTACCGGCGTGACACGCAGGCAGCGCTGGCCAGGTATCCCAATCCCTTGGTGACGTAGTGAGGGTTTTCGCCCAGTTTGTCAATCGGTTTGACCAGCCTCTCAAGAATCATGCAGGTCAGATCATCGTCCAGTTCTTGAAAGGATAACCCCATTGCGCTTGCTGATCAGGTAATGTTGGTCAAACTGGATTGAATCAACCTAGCTTCTACTACGAGCGACCAGCCATTCAGGAAGTTTTGGAGAAAGTGCGGAAAGCAGATTGCACATTCCTTCTGACGTGTACAGCTACTACTAGCTTGATTCCATGTCTAGGAACAACCAGGGATTGAGGGCTGATCAGGTAGCAGCTGCTCCATGTTCTTTTTGGTGAATTTTTGGTCTCCACAGGGACATGACCCCGGTTTTCACGAGGCCTATCCTGGACCCGGAGGTCGCAGAGTCGCGGACAAAGTCGCGAACGAAGGTCGCGGAAAGTCGCGAAAAGTCGCGAAACGTCGCGGAGCATTCCAAGGCATATAAACATAAAGTTGCTCCAAAACATGCTTTTCAAAGATTGTTAAAGTCGCGGTGAAGGTCGCGAAGTTCGCGGAACAGTCGCGGAGCAGTCGCGCAAAGTCGCGCAGAATCGCGGAAAGTCGCGCAATGTCGCAGGCAACTCTGGCAACCTCCGGGCCCAGGATAGGCCTTCAAAGTTTCACGCAGAAAAGAGAAGAAAAGAGTCTCTTTACTGGCTTTGAAAACCCTTGTCAGGCTGCTTTCAATGTCATGCAGCTAGGCATCTCACCCCGAATATGTGTGTCAAAAAAAAAAAAATGAGAAACGGCGGGACGCCGTTTAGGAGCTCGTTTATAGGTTATGCATACGTATCTGAATATGCACATTATATGAACGCTGACCCAAATTTCAATACAGGGCTCATTCCGACTATTTAGTGGCAGTATAAATTGCGTTATCAACCGTTATGATGACTCTTTAAAGCATAATATAGTTAATATATGGATTGTGTCCAGAGTAGGGGTGGCCACATCGCCTGTACTTTCAGCCCCCCTGTCCCCGTAGGGCAGATTGGACAAATCTTATTTGGACCATAGTACTTCTACCTAGCTGCATCGCACGATCCAGCTGTCCGAATCCATCGGACGGATGTACTCCAATACTACTGAACAGCTACTGGCCGTCCGATCCGATCACTGAGCGGGCCCGGGCTGAGCCTATAGTAGGTTTGGAGAATGCGCGCGTGGCCAAAAGTCCCCGGCCGATTCTTAATTTCTTCGCGCAAAATTTTGGCACCTAAATCTTTGGCACCCGGATGCGACCGGGAGCAGGTTCGTCAGCGTTCGTGCTCCCGCCGGAATCTTCGCGCTCAACCGGTCGCAATTTCGTCGCGGAAGTAAACTACGCTGTATCTGCTTCACGCAGGCTACAGTAAAAAAGGCGTACGGTGAAATGTTCAACCGTCTGAAGTTTTTGTCGTCCTTCGGGTCAAAAAAAAGAGAGTTGGAGGCACTACACGACAAAAAAATATTGCCTCATCGAGCTTCAGACTGTCGAGAACCGGCACGGTCGCTCTTCAGGTGTTTTGCTTCGACGGATAAAATTTTGCCTTCTCCCATTTCAAGGTCGGCGACCATTCCGACAGCTTCGTTATAGATAAATCTATAAACGAGCTAAAAATGTGACCGGTGGCGGAACGCCACGTATGCTCGGTTTTCAAGGGGGTCCAAGGTATCGAATGAAAAGTAGGCGTTGCGAATTTGACGGTAGGGTCACGGAGACTCTCGGTGCTTGAAAAAGTGATCGGTAATTGTGAACCGCCAGCTGAAAAACCTGATGTTAGTCAAAATGCAGATTCGGATCTAGAAAGGTCGATAAGAGAAGAGCAATCCGGGACCCCGGGCACTTTCCTCTAGCGAAATTGAGCGCATGGAGCCCGGTGTTCGTGATACGCAGAGCGGCGCGCCCCTGCTTACCGACTTTGCGTACGGAATACACTCAGCTGCACGTGTTGAAAGTTACTTCAAGCGTGCAAAATTGAAGCTCATTTGGACCGTAGGACGGGCCACGGCCTCACGAGTCACCGTATCTCAAGATTCGAGTCCGCACTGAAGACGAGCCTCAGCCTGGCATGTCCGCAGAATGCACAAATGAACGCGCTCGAAAAGAGCCTTACACGTGCGAAAAAAAGAAATTTGAACAGCAGTTTGCATCGAACCATCGAAAGTTCGGGTCGATCATTCCAAGGAATAGTATGGGGCGAAAGTGTCTTTCGACGCATAAATTTGGCTTATCTGAGTGATCCAAGCTAAGGTGCTCACGTTCGGGGTTTTCAAACGCTGGGGGGAAAAACGATAGCTGGTTTTTTGTAAACCAAAAAAACCAAGCTAAATTTTTTTTGGTCACATCAGGAAGATGTCTAAGATATTGGCTGGAACAATATCGTTTTTTTCTTGTCAGTTCCAAAATGACGTCTTTTCTAGAATTTCGGACCCTGAGGTTAGTGATGTAAGACTGTGATACACTGGGGAAGATCACCGGAACGATGAGACCACTAGCAGTCTATAACAAACGTCACTACTACTTCCCACTACCGGATGGCTCTAAGTGATACTGACCCACAATTAATCGTCAGTGTAATTCAGCGTGGATAGTACAGACAAGCTAACTATTGATTAGCAGGCAGCGGAATGTAGCGTGGGGCCCATGCAAAGCTAACCAGACAAGTGCGATACTACCACAATCAAGCATCACACACGGGAGTGCCACTCCAGCTAGCAGTTATGTGAAGCAACGAACCAAACAATAAGTCACAACTCGCATAAGCTCACCAATGGCAGTGTCTACGTTGTGTGGACTACTGTGCATTCACCACGTTGCAATGCAGCACATTCGCGGTGAAGTCTGATCGAGCTCAGAACCAAGTGATATGACAGGCAGGTCGCAAGAGGGTATGAGGTTGAGAACCGGCGTCGTTCAGGTTGCGGGGTATAAGGCGTCCCGGAATGCTTGACAAGCTTACAAGTATGCAATACTGGCAGAAACGCCAACCAAACGCTACAAAGACAAGTGTCCCTAATCAAAACGCTATTAGAAGGAAGCGCCTCTCAAACAAGCAATCAAACAAGCGCAGATTCAATTGTGTCTACTCAAGTCAAGATCTGGTGAGGATTAAGCAAACATACGTCTTCCTCGATACCGTCTTCTTAGATCCTTTCAAAGTGTTGCTCTAAAAACGCGAAGTCTACGAAACACCACTTTGCCTCGACCAATGACTGTCCAGCGTATCTTTCTATTGGTGGTTCTCAATTACTTCAATCTATCGAACGACTCTAAGGACTAGTGATCGTCATCGTTGCCGTCAACGCCTGAGGTCCACTCAAACCCTGACACACTTGCGGCGGCCGCGTTAACGCCTACTCGCGCGCCTACTCGCATTCTAACCACAACTTCTTTACCGGTCATAGCGTTCTAGAAGTAGCATGCGACCATGCCCCTAACTCAGCCCGGTTGCTTGATGGAGAAGTGGTCGGGGACTTTGGATAAGATTCGTTCGCACGATAAGGTTCGGCGCCAGTGAAGTTAGGGGCAGCTGAGCTCCAAACACAAGGACCGGGAAATCAAATTGCTTCCGACCACTATGTCCGACCGCCATTTCATATTGCCGTGACACTCAGAGTCTACCCTCGGTGAATGTTCCACCGTGCGAGTCGCGACCGGCCGAGTCGAGTCACTGGCAACAATTTGTAATCGGCGCGGCCTCTACGAGTTTTCGCACGGCGGTCTATAGCTACCGCCCAAAGTCAAATTAGTTGTACATTGACCGTAGAGGCTGGACTCTGTAACCGTACGGTACCTCTGCGCAATCTGACAGGTTTGGACTGCGTGGTATATTTGGCAGTCGATGGATGCGACGCGTGGCCTCCGGTAACATTCTGCTCGAGCGACGGTATGGTAAAATGCACACTATTCACGCGCAGCCACACTGTGCACGCGCAGAGCATTTTTGCCCCGCAAAAAACACTATTTCCTGCCTGCTGCCTGGCTGAGGCACGTTTGCACTGTCGATGGACTTTTTGACGGCTGAAACTACCTTATTCTGCGCGGCAATCTTTTTTGAGATCTGGAGTGGTGGCTTCTACGGCCTTCGAGTTAGGGCATGGTCGCGCGCTACTTCTAGAACGCTATGGGTGGTGCTAACCGCTACGTGGCGGTCTCGGGGCACTACAGTAGTACTTCACTATCCCCTTGCTCTACCGCCCCCCCAGCTTGGGTGGTCTACTTGGCAGCAGCTTGAAAGTCCGCGTTGAACTGCTCATGTCGGGCGCGTCGCGTTTGTGGGGGAGAAGGCATCGCCGCGCGCGCCATCGCCGTCACCTTCGTGTCGGGCTTAGTCATCACAAAACACCCCCCCCCCCCCCGGTTTCCATATATAGAAAGCGTACGAGCTTCTAGCGCTCGAAAACCCGACATATTCTCATTTGATTTCCGTGCAATTATCGGGCGGTCGGACTTCGTATGGTTTCCATGCGACATGCTTTGACGGTCTTCGTGTGGACGCGATACGGTTTCCATGCATATGTTCTTCATCCTGCAACTGCATGAATTCCATGCCTCAGTAACTATGCCGCGACCGCGAGGAAGGCATACAAAATCCGAACGGAAACCATGCTGTACAGCGTAGTGGGTCATGCCACATCACACCTGTTTCATGTGTCATGAAACGTTCTTATAAAAGCCTTCTTATATGAACAATGACAGTGCTAAACGTCTATATGCGTCAGCTAGCAATGATCTCGTCCATCTCACCATAAAGTGTTCAAAACTTGAAATACACCGTCGCCTGTATAGAAATAAAGCTGACCTAAAAAGTCCTCACCTGTCACGCCGTATGACATCGGCATTGCAGAGCCTCGGTAGGCAGAGCTTATTGCATGATTTGCTTGTTATCGTATAGAGTATGACCCCGTTTGATAGCTTACGAGCTGGTTTGCAGAGACACGGTTACCTTAGCAGGTTATCGCAGACTTTATTGCATGTTTACAGTAAGCTACGACTTGAGTCACATCTCAGTCTGCTAGTATTCGATTCGATAGGCTAGTCTTACGGTTAGCCTCAGACCACGCCATACAGAAGAATGGTCTTCTAGCGAGATTAGAGGAGCTCTTGGCGCCTTCGGACATGGTCACCCATGCTTGCATCCTATTAGTCTACTTAGCATTCACCTCTCTCCTTGCACTTCTCGACACAACCTTGTCGTGAGTTCCAACCTTGGACTCGCGAGAAGAATCCTTGGCTCACGAGGAGCCGGAAGGAGAGGGAAGAAGGTTTGCCCCTTCAAGTTGACGTGGGGGCGCACACACACATACGCATACGCAGCCATCTGGCAAGAGGGACAGTAAGTTCTGTGGGACAGAAAGTTCCCAGCAGCAGGCTTTTCTTCTTGGGTGACATCGAGGGATTTGGGCACCTCATTGCTTGTTCACTTGGTTTGGAGGGTTTTGACACTGCCGCCATTTGAGTGGTGATATTAGTGGCTTTTGATTGCACAGACATCGCATTGAGTTGGGGGCTCTAAATACGCTAGAGCCTCCGCCGCTTTTCAGCGGTGGTGGTAATCTGCTAATCATTACCGGCCAGGTTTGCATACGTGGCTTGTCCGCGCATTGCTGATTTTGAGCTAGAGGATTGGCTGTAACTTGCCAGGGATTTGAGATTGTTTTGGTGGTGGTTGCGCTACAAGTGTTGGGCGCCAGACTTTTCCTGAGACTGGGGATTTGTTTTGGTGCTTTCGGGCTGATTTTGGTGGCGCCAGGGCTGCCGACAGTGCAGCCTGTTCAGTGTCGCAGATTGTTACAGTTCTGAGTCTTTGCGCTCAGGAAGACGCTCAGAGGGTGCACAAGGTGTGGTTATTTCGGAGCCGCACTGCTGGGCTGATCTTGGACACCTTCTAGACAGCGTCGTGCTAGAGTTTTCAGAGGGTTACAGAGCATTGAGGGCACGTCAGGTTCAGGTGTGGCTTGGCCAGGGGCTTTTTGGCGTCATTTCTTTTGATAGGGTTTCTTGCTGAGACCGACTTGACAGCAGCATGGAGTGGCGGCAGGGCTGATTGCGTGTCGTCTTTCTAGAGGTTCGTTGTGTATGTCATGTCAGGGACAGGCTGATTGGACGCAATCGGACAGTGTTACAGAGGATTGTGTGCCAGCAGCGCACCAGAAAGGAGGGGCGCTGCCCCATTCTAACGGCTGCCGCCTTGTAGGGCGTGCAGCGCCGATTCGCTTTCTGTGCGGGTACGCAGGCGTCAGACAGGGCCTGCCTGAGCGCGCGCGCGCCAAGCTGGACTTCAGGTGTACGGTACTGGAGAGTCTGCTGAAGCGCCAGGCGCAATCACACAAGGCGTCGGCAGGCCTTACGCGCTGTTGTGGGTTGGTGCCAACTGCAGCCAGTCACAGTACATCGCCAGTTGCACAAGCGACTGCAGCGCGCCAGTCACATATTGTGAGCAGACACGTTTATTCGAGCCAATTGGCTCTGCTTGCTAGATGAACGCCTCGTAAGCTAGATAGCGTCCCGCGCCTGATGCCGGCGTTGGGATTTGTGAAACAGGGTACGGTAAATAACACACGCTGACAACCAGTACAACCCTGGGGTCTTGACGAGGTCTTGTAACTTCGGGGGGCGTGGCCGTACTTGCTTGTTGTGGGGCTCTGAGACTACATTGCCAACGACTACATCGAGTTTTTGAGACCAACTGAACCCCGTTGGGACGATTCGCGGTCAGGTGCTGAACCCTTCGTTGTGAGTTCGCCCATGTGATGACCCTTCTTTGGAAGCGAGTCGCCAATTTTGGTTTTGGATTAGCCGAAACCCTGTTTTGTACTCTTGCGTTGAAACCTTCTTGAAGGGAGTTCGCCTTGTGAGATTGGGCTGGACCCTCTTTGAGCAAGTCCGCCAGATTTCTGACCATCTTGCCACGTTGCCTCGTTCCAGATGTGCGCGCAAGACCAGCAACCATACCCAAGTGCCTGTGATCAGACAAGGTCGCGGCAGGGGGGGGAGACAGGTTACAGTGCCGCTCCCTAGGGTTAGCGTACGCGCTTGGACAGCATAAGCGTCGCTTGGTCGAATTGATGCACCGTTATAACTTTAGAAACATGCACCATCGACAGGAAGAGAGAGCGATCGAGAGTAGGGTCGAGTCAGATACACGGCTCAATCGTATATTGCTGACATTGACAGTGATTATATTGTTGAGAGTCCTAGTGTGCTACCCCCTGCCGAATCGAGCGCATTGCACAATTCCGATTTGAATCCTGTGAATTGGGTTGTCGAAACCGACGACAGCATGGATAATATGCATGCGCAGCATGGTGCTGGCCGCTTTACCGGTGGGCCAGCCGGGATGAGTGTGTCGCATTTGCGACAGAGCTATAAGACGATGATGCCAAAGTTAAAGCTACGACCAAATACAGAGAATCTGAATGAGAATGACTACTTCTATTTCCTTGTTGAGCTGACCTCGGGTCAGGCTCGCGATTGCGCCGGCGAGCTTGAGAGCCGCATGGCCGACGATTTGGACAAATGGAATGAGGCGCGCCTCCGCGCATTTGAGCGCGAGCTCGTCGAATATGAGCGTGACAAAGAGAGGCATGATGCGCTTGGAGCGACCGAGCGCGCAGCCGCGACTGCGCCGGTCAAGGCGCAGAAACCAGCGGTCCTCGAAGTATATGACGACCCGGTTGGCCATTTCTGGGCCATGATCAAGGACCTCTTTCCAGAGAAGTCCACTGCGCAAATAAACGAGTTCAATAACTTCCGCATGCAGACGAATGAGAGCATGTCGAGCCTCACTCAGAGGATGAAGACGCTCATGACTGTCTTACAGGGACCAGAGGGCATGGCCGCCCAGAAGCTGCTCGATGCAATTGAGCCGAAGCAGTTTCGCGGTGAAATTCGGAGAATTGTATGGGCTGAGGATACTGGTGACGACGACCTGACAGTCGACCAGATTAGCAAGGTGGCAATCCGCGTGGAGAAGAAGCGCTGCACAGAAGCGCTCTGAGGTTCGGCCTCTCAGCCGAGCACACACAGTGATGCGGGACGCGGCTCCGCCGCGAAGTCGGCTGGCCCCGCCGAAAGGGCCGCTGACAACCGCAAATGCCACAATTGCGGCCAGTTCGGTCACATCGCTAGGAATTGCCGGTCACCCTCGGCGCAAAAGGGCCATATCGCCCCAGTGGTTCAGGCCAACGCAGCTGCAGAGTCACAGCGCGGCGGCTCAGCGAAGGCTAAGAGCAAGTTTTACAAATGCGGAGAATTCGGCCACTGGGCTTCTCACTGCGCAATAAAGCGCGCCAAGCGGCAGGTGCCCGGCGCGTTGAAGAAGTGGTGCAAGCATCACAACTCCAGTACCCATGACACGGCCGAATGCAAGGCCCTACAGCACGGGGCGCCATCAGCGCCGCCCCTTGCGAACGCTCGCGCCGCGCAGGCCCCGGCCGCTCAGAAGAACGAGCCCAGGGATCCGGCCGAGCCCACACTTGAGGAGCTTCAGGAGCTCTGGGACGCCCACTATGGACGCGTCACAGGATACGGCGCCTGCGTGATGTCAGCGCGCGCCGCAACCAGAACGGGCAAGCAGCAGCCAGTTAGTAGGCCAACAGCCTCACGCCAGGCCGCACCTAAGCTGCACAGTGGCCCCACACGACACTGGGCCCCTAAGAACGAACGACGTCGCGGCCGTCTCGCTGACATGCCGCTGGGCTTTCTGCCCAAGGACTTTATTCGAACTTCCAGTCCGACCAGACCCGAGCCTGCCGAGCCAGCCGAAGCTGAGCAGCGCGCAGAGCCGGATTCCGCCCAGACGGCCGCGCCGGAGGTTGCCGCGCTGGCTAAACAAAAGCAGAAAGAGACTGCACCAGAAGACGCTGCTAAGAGCGCAGCCCAGGGGACAACCAGAACACGGATTCTGCCTCAGGGCCTTCAGGAGCTGCCGTCGGACGATCCACGCCGACAGGGAGTCATTTACGGGCCGACTGCCCCAGTGGACACTGCGCCCGCGCTGCAAGAAGCCGACCAGGCACCAGCTGCCTTAGGTTCGCCCCCAGAGCCGGCTGCAGACAACATTGACGATCCAGAGAACCCCCGAATTGGCGCTCCTAGGGAAGCTGCCAGGGGCGTACCACAGTGACCCGACCGCGGGGTTCCACAGGTCACCTCGGATTGATAACTCCGGCCCGCAGCCTGCCCTCCTTGTGAACGGGCGCGTGGTGCCGAACTTGATTCTGTATTCTGGCGCTCAGGCCGTCATTATTGGCCCCTCCGGTGCCAAGGCAATGGGGATTACCCCTGACATGATTCGCCGCAGAGCGATTGTGATCCGCGGTGCAACGGGACACCTGTCCGACCGCTTGGATCGAACACTTGAGCCGGTCAGCTTCGAGCTGAACCCATGCACCCCTGACATAGTCACTGTTATGGCGCACGTGGTGATTGCATCCCACGATCTGCTTGACACACTGATTGGGATGAGTGTCATCGGACCGGCCAGCATTATTCCGAACCCCCGCAAGCAGCGGGTGAAGTATTATGTGGACCCGAACACAGACAGCGAGCGCAGCGCCTACCTTCGGTGTGAAATTCCCGATTGAGTACGGCCGCTCCCCGCTGCATGCGTACACAGCAGTGATTCGCGGCTATGTCGGGGCCGTTATGCCCTTGCATATCAAGACACCGATTTCGCGTCTGGAAGCTGAGACAGCTCGACGCCGACTTGATCAATACAACATAGAACTGATGACAGTCACGACATATATCTTCGACCGCAGTGGGCGCGCGCTGGCTATGCCGGCTGCCCCGCCGCGGCCTATCAGGAACCCCGCTTTCCAGCACATCTGTGACGGTTGGAC